GGGGTAAGACTGCGTACATCCGACCCCCCTACCCCACTGTAGGTGGTAGCCTTTGCGGCAATGGGGTAACGATGATGATAACCTTGTGTCAACCTCCGGTGCGGGCAGTATTTTTTCTTTGAAGGCCCTCTACAAATGCCATAAAATCCAGCCCTCAATGACTTATGTAAAAGTAAAAGTCAAATTAACATGTTAATGTATATACTTACACTGAAATCGTGAATCAATGTATTACGGTGTGTATATACACATTATAACACAGCTTTGTCAATACGGTTTTATTCATAGCTCTGGTATTCATAACAATTTTATGGCATGAATGATTGACAAAACTATTATTCATAACTACAGCTCTTTTTTTGAAGCCACATTAATATGATCAAATGTTAATGCAATTTTGGACCCAAAGATTCATTATTTTTTGGCTTGACAATATGATGGAGTAAAGCAAAACGGCTCACTAAACTATCTGCGCTTCTTTCTTATGAAGCAGCAGTCAGTCCATGCAATTTTGGACGCGATTTTCACTACGGGTCATTCGGAAACAATCTCTATGTGTTTTAGTACAGGGGTAAGACTGCGTACATCCGACCCCCCCTACCCCACCGTAGGTGGGAGCCTTTGCGGCACCGGGGTAAATGAAAATGATGATGATTAATATGATCAAATGTAATTTTAATCGACTCAAGTGTGGATATAATGGTGGCAATAAATTTAATAAACACAAATTGGTCATAGCCAGATTAAGAGTGCACTGATCAAGCTTTTGTTTGTTAACTTTGTTTATATCGCTTTTAGGTTTTAGGGCCAGTCCTGTATGTCTCAAGGCCTAGGGAAGGACAACTTAATAATAGCATACACGTATCAAACAAACTTTTCCATTGAACTTTTTTTACTTAAGGCCACTTTCTCTAATGTTCTCTTTTTTCTTTCTCCATCCACATTCAATCATTTTATTACACCTTGAAATTAATTAAATTTATAAATTTAATTATAATTGAAATTTTTACTTGACAATTAAGAATATGAACTAAACATTTATTAACACTTAACAGCGGACAAATCAACTTTTTATAAACATTAAACAACTATGAATGAAATCAATTAATAAACTAATCAAAGAATCAGATTAATCAATAAAAGAAAAGTCTAAAACTCTAAAACAGTTAAGCCATTGACTCATTAAGGAATGAGGAAGGAGGCCGGAGGAATACCTGAAGACTTAACTGCTGAAGCGGCGAGGGCGTGAGGCAGTGAATCCAGAAGGTTAGCACGGCGCACCTGCTGGTCGCCTGGACTGAGAAGCCGATAAGGGGAAGGACGGCAGCCGGAAGGCGGCCAAGCGTCGGCGGCTGGCGGTCCGCGGTCAGCGACTAGGCCCTTGGCGTTCGTCGATGTCGATCCGATTGGCTGCTGAGCTTCTCCTCCAGTCCTTTGTTCGGCTAATTGGCTGTTGTCCAAGATGCCAGTCTCCGTTTCCTGGTATGTTTTTACTCGTTCATTTCAGTCTCACACACATCAAACATTCAAACCCTTTTACTAAATACTCCGTAGATGAAATCAGAATTAAATACATACACAAACTTTGAGAGTTGTTAAAAACTACCTCCCTCTCAAAATATACTTCCCCATTTGAATTGACGGGCTTATTAAGAAAGTAAGAATAAAATGGAAATGTATGATTATGGTTGACTAAAAAAAGTAAATGAATGTGAGTCAAACAAAACTTTCCACAAATGAAAATGAAAAGTACTTTTTGGAATGAGCTGAAAAGAAAAGTGAGAAGTATTTTTTTGAAGTGTCAAATAACAATGACAATTCAAGCGCCACTTTAAGCATGTCACACTCATGATAAAATTGAAACATATAACACATAGTTCCAATATCTGTTATGGTAACGCCCTTGATGGGTTTCCAAACAGATGTCATAGTGTCTCTAAAGATAGAGAAACGTACCGATTTCTCCGATGTTATTGTGCCAATTAAAGTTAAGGTTGCACCACTTCCACCAAAATCGCTGCATCTCCCTCCTCCATCTCCATTCTTCCATAGGCTTGAGCAAGAGTCTCAACCTCTTCCTAATGGTTATTTTTTGTTTCGAGAATCTGGCCCCGTAATGTGTGGGAACCTGCCGCGTGTTGCCGTCGAACTGGCAACCTGCTTGATCACTGCCCTGCATCCATGCTGCTGGACTCCATCTCGCCGAGAGAAAGCTTTGCTCTGTGGGAAACGAACTGCTGCGAACCGGGAATGCTGCGGACGAAGAGAGATTGCCGCACCAAATCTTTATTGACGATCTGGCTTGAGAAAAATCCATGCAGACAAAGGAACTGCCGCACCAAAAACCCTAGGATGACCTCATCGTCCTATTGGTAAAAAGATTATGAGCCTGTTTGGTAACACTCAAATTAGTTGAATCGGTTGAATCAATTGAAATTAATAAGATTCTTGCTATAATGATTGAATTCGCTGAATGTGTTGAAATATGAAAAAATCACATTTAAAATATACCTTAATCTTCTAACTAAGAAAAAATATTGAAAATAGCTAAAATAATCATCTAATGTAATTTCATCCAATTAAGCAAAAAAGGTTATTTCGATGCCTTCCAGGTTTAAAAAAACAACGTTATTTCGATCTTACTTATTTTGATTATTCCATAATTGAACACGTTGAATCAAAAGTTAAGTGTCTACTAAAAAAATTGATTGATAACTGATATAGATAAATTAAAAATAAAGGTTACCAAACTATCTAAAACTGGCAATGGTCTAATAATTATTAGCCCAAAAGAAGAATTTTTTATTTATTTATGACTGCATCATTGATATTATTATAAAGAAATTAGGCGTTTTTCCTTGAATATTACCTAATTGAAGCAAATTTCTAAAAAAGTGGCAATTTTTATAAAAGGACAAAAATGTTACTTAGAAGGTCACATTTATGGAAAACATGATGTCACTGCTTCTTATGTCACTGTCAGATTTTTATGTTACTATCATATTTTTATGTCACTTTTCGGCAACCTTTTCCGGCGAAACAGTTGATCACCACCACCAGCGGCCCCGCCAACCACATTTATTTCATGTCACTGCGGTTTTTTCGTGTCACTATGATTTGTCACTGTTAAATATTAATGTCACTTACGGATGTCACTGTCATCAAAAAACATGTCACTATAATCATTTCCGTTGAGTAAAATTGTTTCCGCCAACACTGCGGCCGATCAGCCGACACCGACCCCCACACCCAGCTCCCGCACACCCGGCAACTGCCACCGATGACAACCACCGCCCTAACCGTGACCACACCAGCCCCCTCCCCAACCCACAAACCTCCTAACAGCCTACCAGCCCCCTCCCCATTCCACCAACCCCCTCCCCATCCCACCAACCCCCTCCCCAGTCTACCAGCCCCCTCCACAATCCCCAAACCCATTGACCACCAGCCAATGTTCGGCATTGCCTCCGGCGCCACCGCCTGCATCCTCCCAAGCCCCAGCCCCTCACCTCCCATGCCTTGCCTACTGCTGCCTCAATCCCTTAGCCCAACCCTCCTCTACAACCTGATTCTGCTCCAGCATCCCCACCCTAGCCGTTCGATCTGGATTTGGATCGCCCGCCGGAGCGCTGCAACACATCACAGATTTCACCAAGCTATCTGGCTTACCGCAGCAACAACTTAGCCGCCGACCAAATCTAGTCACCTCGCCCTCAGCCAGAGACATCGTCGACCACCAATCTCCTCCATCCACCGCCACAGATAGAAATCGCCGCCAATTTCCATCCCAATCGCCGGTTAGAAAAACAAGAAGAAGGAGAAGAACGGCAGAAATTGCGGACGATGGCGAGCAGTGGACAAGGAGAGAGATCGGGTATGGAGATGGTGGGAGGTGGATGACCAGCGTGAATCGTGTGGCGGCGTGGCGCAGGTCATGGGCACCTGGGCAGCAGAGTGAAGACCATCGATGGAAGTTTGAAAATATGAGAACTGAGATGATAGAGAGACGTAAGCTCAGATCGGGTGAGTCGTGAGTGACCTTTCTACATTAAATCGTATTTTTGGAAAAGGAAAAAAATCATATTTTTGTCATTGAAAAGCCCAGCTGTGATGTCCATGCCATTCTCTCCAAAATTAATTAGGAAGTAGGGCTGCACAAGAATAACCCGAACCCACATAACCCGCCCGACCCAACCCTACCTGATCCTATTTAATCGGGTATTCGATTTTAAAAATATTCATGGGTTAAATATGTTTGAACCTGTACCTAATTGGTAGGGTTGCGGAATTAAAATCTCAAACCCGATAGTAGCCGACCCGGCCGAAAGTTCAATTTACTATAATGATGCTACAATGGTTTCTTGGATAATTTCAATTCAAGATCAATGTGCTCTATCTCAGACTTTATGATATTAGAATTATAATTAAACATTTACTATTTTGATTAGGTGATTATTATATATATACGTTTCCTTCTAAATGAACTTCCTTTACGGAAGGATGTTTTAATAACATTACCTAATGTTTTTGCTTTTAAAAGATACAAGTACTTGTATTTGTTTGTGTGTTTTAGAAACAAGTTAATCGAGTTTCAAATTGGTTATATTGATTTCCCACACGAAAGATGTTACCCGAATTAATTTCTTTTCCCAAAACCCGACCCTACCCGACCTGTTCATGTATGGTTTACCAACTTATTTTGCGTACTACGGGTTAATTAATAGTCAATCCGAACAAATTGTGTAGGCCCAAAAAATATAGGAAACCCGACCCAACCCACCCGATGTGCAGCCCGGCCTATTAGGACGTATATAAGAGTATAAGACGACTTGGTAGTTGACCGAGAGAAGAGTAGTTGAAGCTAACCCCAGATCGATACAAGACTTCATGAATCAAATAATTAAACCCGCCTGTCTTAAAACGATGTACTTCCTCCGTTCTTTTTTAGTTGCAACAGTCTACTTTTAATTTTTCACGTTCGTTTTAAAAAAATCATATTTTGAAAATTTAAAATGAGAAGAATTTAATAATATTTTTAAAAAAATTTAATTTATAATACATTACATAGTAATAAATAAAATATAGTCAAAGTAGAATATGTGAATAATGAAAAAAATACAATGTTGTAACTAAAAGAGAACAGTAATTACGTACATATATGCACTAATTAAATAGCACGACAGAATTAAACGAACATGACAGTTGCAAGAAATCGATGATTCCTAAGATAAACGAACGCTCTATACTTAAATTACAATAATAATCCAGCCAGGCCAAGACACCTTCAAATCTGCATGCCATTATTACGCAAGCTTCAAGCTGCTACATACGTACTAGCTAATAATCAAATCATCAGCGACGAGCCGGAGGAGTGAGGCTGCCAGCATCCTCGCCGCCGCCAGCTGCTACAGGCGGGTTGGGTACCTCCACACCCGGGTTAGGGAGGAGAGTGTCATCTCCGCCGGGAACATAGCCGGACCCGCCGCCTATTATGCCATCGAAGGGGTTGATGGCGCCAGTTCCGCCGCCACTCTTGCCGGTGATGGGGTTGTAGTTGAATGGGTCAACTATTTGACCCTTCGGCGGGATGACTACGCGGCCGAAGCCGGGAATCAAAACGGTCCCGTCGTAACCGTGGAGAAACTCAGGATGGAGTTTTTTGTCCACATTCTTGGACGCCTCGTTGGGGATGCCACGCCCGGCCGCCATGGCAGGGACACTGAAAGAGGACAGTACAATGGTGAAGAGAATCAAAAGAAAAGTGCAAAGGGAACTACGAGTTTCCGCCATTGATGCGGGTTATTAGTTCCTTACGTGTTGAATTTGAATTGATGGAGAGAATGAGTGAGTTGAAGTAAAGTTTGAGCTCACTTCAGTATTTATATATAGGTAGGGGAAATTAAAAGAGGGGGGTGCAGTTTGGTGGGTATTTAGCGGTGCTTGATTAAGGCATATTGGTGAGGATCAATCAGCTTTTAACAGCCCATTAATGCTACACCTCATCTCATCTGCCATTAGCAACTAGTTCTTTATTGCATCCTACCATTTTATTCTGATATCTGTTTGACTTGCATTCATGTTAAGAAGTGAAAATGTGATTAAATTTAGTTAGATAAGTTGAAAACAATAATAAATGCGGTTTTTTCTTGACAAAAACAAAATATAGACACATTCAAATAATAGTTTGAGTTTCGTTCAAAAAAAAAAAAAATAGTTTCACGTGCCCTCAATATTTCCTTTTCTCTTCGATGTATTAACGTGCGTTAAACTTTTGGAGTTTTGGTTGTCAAGATAGATAACATGAAATAAAATAACTTCTACAAGACTACAACGACAAGTAAATGCTCGTATCAAATTCATATTCTGAAAATCTTGACATTCATTACTGTGATAATTATTGAGAATCATTTTTAATGATGATGATCGTTTATGTCGTGCAACAACCAGGACCCCCTTGTTTTGAAGCACTCTCTTGAATTTCTTTACAACTTTTCATCTCAAATTCGGCTGTATGAAAAAATTCCATAACTTCATCGTTCCAATTTTAAGAAGCACCTTCAATTTTGAGAATTCTTAACCTATGTTACGTTACTCCCTGTGTCCCACATTTAAATTTTCACTTTCCTCTTTAAAATGTCTCAAAATTATACTACCTCCCTCCCACTAAGATTGAGACAAGAGAAAGTGACACAATTATTAGAAAAGTGAGTTTGTGTGGTTGATATTAAATTGATAAAGTAAAAATAAAGTAAGAATGATTTAGAACCACACAAACGTTAATAAATTTGGTATGAGACAATCTTAGTGGGATTTCCCGAAAAGGTAAAATGAGACAATCATAGCGGAACTGAGGAAGTAGTTGATACCTATCTTTTTGTAATATTTGAGTGGCAAAATACTCTTTTACCCCTATGAAAATTGCATCATTAATTGCAGAGTATTAATATTCTCTCTCATACTATGAGGAAGGGCAAACTTGGGAATGGGAAGTCCGACATTTGAAGTTTTTGCTAAAAAAGATAATAAGTCCGACATTTATAAACAAGAGCTAATAAGTTTGATAAGCCGAAGGTGAAAGTGAGTGAACAAACATGCCCTAATGAAACTATAAAAAAGAATCACACTTTAGAGCCCATTTGGGGCTCCGTTTTTCGGTTTATCAGCTTTATCAGCCAACTTTTAAACCACACACTTAACTTTTGATTTCGCGCAATGAATTGTGTAGTTATAAGAAAAAATAAGATTGATATTATTTTTCTGGCTCTATTGTCTGAAGTTACTGCAGATGACCATTTTAATTATTTTTTGATATTTCTTTATCTATAAATATATTTTAATTATACGGAGTAATTTTTTGTATGACCATTATTATCCATGATCCACCTATCATCTTCCTTCGATAGATAGGGTTGGGACTTTGGAACCAAGAACCGGATAATCGAAACGGACCGTTATGACCCGGTTCGGTTCGATTCCAACATTTATTAGTTATTTGTTAACGGTTCGGTTCCTATTTCTATTAACGATTCGGTTCTCGGTTCCTAAAAAAAATATGTGCCAGGAAGGCAGGAACCGTCAAGGAACCGATATACTCCTTATTCGGTTCTCGGTTATTATATATATTTCTTATGAGTATATATATTTTAATGTATATTTACTTATTGGGTAAAGGGTCAAATAGGTACATGAAGTAACTTAAACTGTTCAATAAACCCCTTATATAGGAGGTTCTGCCCGCCCGTCGCAAATTGGGGCGGTTCCCGGTTGAATTTTTTGATGAAATTTTTTGAGAATATTCTTCATTAAGTCTAGTTTACCCATATCAAATTTCAGCTAAAAATTAAATCGGGAAGGCAGTCAAATGATTTTCCAAAATGTATTGTGTTGTTTAATTGCGCAGTTATCTTCAAAAAATCATTTGACTGCCTTCCGGGTTGAATTTTTAGCTGAAATTTGGTATGAGTAAACTAGACTTAATGAAGAAGATTCTCAAAAAATTTCATCAAACAATTCCACCGGGAACTGACCCAATTGGCGATGGCCAGGCAGAACCTCCTATATAAGGAGCTAATTGAACACTTTAAGTTAGTTCATGCACGCTTTAGCCTTACTTATTTATTTTTATATCGCATTCATTATTTAAGTTTAGTTATTTAACTATTTAAAACTATTATTCACTTCAACCGGTTCTCTTAGGCTTCTTAGGCCCCTCATTAGGTCCAAACTCCAGCGGGTTGGAATTCGGAAGGTCCAAAGTATTTAAAACTATTATTCTCTTTAACTGGTTAAGCATATTTGTATTGTAATTTCAAACGTTGAATGGCTTTTTGGAAAAAAATTAGTCGTGATTTGTAAGAATTTTTTAAAAAATTAGGAACCGTTAAATGACAAGAACCGAACCATTAAGAACGATTCAATTCCTTATCGATTCTGTAAAATAATTTATAAGAACAGAACCGGTCTAGGTCTATTGCTGGACATGAGACAACCAAATCTCATTTTAGACATGAGACAACCAAATCTCATTTTTTCTTTTTCCTCGAGGCATTTCCTGGTATGCTGTTATTCTTTGTCTTCGTATTTTGTTTGTTTAATTTTTTCTGTTCTTGTTCTGCTTCAGTTGGTATTTTGTTTTAAGTTATGAATTCAAGTTCAAAATTTCAACTTTCTTCTGTTTTGGGTTTGTTCTACAATTTAAAGATATTTAAATTCGGAATCTTTCTCTGCAATTTTGTGATTAATTAATGAACATCAGAAGCCAGTAAATCTACTATTCCCAGTAATCCCAAAACGCAGTTCCTCATTGTGCTAGACAAATTTCCGAGTATATACTGATATGCATCTAAATGTTATTGGGGAAAATGATTCCTCTTCCTGTGTGTAACGCCTAAATTTGTACTCCGTAGTATTTGGTGAAAACAATCATTCTGATTCTAGGCCCCAATTAAACAGATGAGTAAATTTCTGATCCATACACTCCACTGAAATTTTGGGTGGGAAAAGACTTCTTGACATATTATTTATATAGGGGTAATTTGAGTTTGCACCCCAAATTATTGTCTAAATTGGATTTTGCACCCCGTTTTTAAAATTCTTTGTTTTTGCACCCCAACCCTATACGAAAAGACCTAAATGTCCTTTCATTAACAATTTTGTTGACCTTCAACATATTCCTGGTTGAGGACATTTTTGTTTTTTCATATGGGATTGAGGTGCAAAAACAAAATTTTTTAAAAACGGGATGCAAAGTCTAATTTAGATAATAATATGGGGTGCAAACTCAAATTACCCCTTTATATATTGGTTTAGAACATGAAAATGACTGCTCTTTCTTCTCCACTGAAACTCATACTACTGAGAAGAATGTTGTGGAAACTGGAAAGCATTTAGACCTCCGCTACACTCGTTTTATTCAACACGAGTGGCTTACCTATCCTCTTCATTGTCTCTAGTGTATAGTGATGTTCCAGAACCTTCAGATTAAAGACCGAAAACTTTCGTGGTTTATCCTTCAAGAAGCATCTGTTGGTACACCTCTCAGCTTAATAAGGAAGCTCTAGGTCCAACCGCCATTGATTACAGGTGAGAAGTCATTTACATAGTGCACTTATTTCTTGACTTTTTCTGTAGATGTTTGTTTGGCCAATGTCAGTTCGGGAAAAAGTTAAAAGTCAAATCTTTCAGCATAGCAGGTGGTTATAGTCTATAATTCCAACATAACTTATAGAAATGACTCAAAGCAGAATAAAACAGTCGGAGAGTAGAGTCTTATAGATGCAAAAAGTGTTGGAATTATGAAGTGTTCGGGAAAAAGTTAAAAGTCAAATCTTTTAGCATAGCAGGTGGTTATAGTCTATAATTCCAACATAACTTGTAGAAATGACTCAAAGCAGAATAAAACAGTCGGAGAGTAGAGTATTATAGATACAAAATCTTAACATTTGTGGTAAGATTTGGTTCTTTGCAAGAAACATATAAATCATTCAGTGAAAGATATCCTGATTCCTGAACAATAGCCGCACGGACCTTACATGTTAGCAACAACCTGCAAATGTTTGTTTAGATAGTGTCATAATGGACCACAGAAAGTTTCACATTTTAATTTCAAAGACCGGATGCTTATTGTTATTGCAGCAATTTCATGCTACGAAAGTTGTTAAGCCAGGTCAGGCCTGTGGTCTTGTATACAAATTTTACAATGCTATTGTCGATCCTAGGTTTTGTGTTTTTTCATCTATTCCATATCCATAAGTTTTGTTGATAATTCGCTGAGTATAAATTTATATATAAGAGGGCAATACATTTACTCATAACACACATTATTGTAATATAAAGACATCAATCGATTCAACAAAGTAAACAATGCCACATGCAATATCTTCCATTGCACTAAAAATCATTAAACTATATGAGTGCAATCACAAAAACATATATCTTTGTACAACCATAATTCCTTTGTTGATGCCTTTCACGAGCCAATCAAAACCCTTCCGAGGTTTAACATGAAAACATCGGTACCATTTCCGTAGTAAGTTTGTGAAATAATTTGCATCTGCAAATAATAAGAGAGCACAACATTTACATAATATGACTAATAGGTGAGGAGCTATGAGTGTCCAGAGTTATTGAACCACTAGAGTGAAAAACGGATTCCTTCCTATTGAGTCTTATTTGGGTTTACAAAAGAAGTATATGTAAATCAAAGATAAGGAAAAATCACTTTAAATTTTCGTTGGATAGACATTCCAAAATTTTCTGGGGTTGAAGATACGCCATATTACCTTAGAGACACTTCTAGAAGGACAAAGTGGGGGTTGAAAGCACAAGGAGAAAGAAAAAAAAGACACCCATAGACTTCATCATGATGATAGTGAAAACTTTGGCGCCATCATGGTGA